GGCCTGGCCAGTCCTGCAGCAGTTTTGAGCAAGCCTGTGGTGCCTTGGGGATTCTCTGATGACCCCTCAAGGACTTGTCACTTGAAGTGTGGCTTAATAAACCTCTTCTCTCTTGGCAACTGAGGCAGATTCCCTAAAGCTGACAGGTCTCAAAAGTTGTTTTGAAATTATTGTGCTGGTTACATTGGTATGTTTCCATTCCTAATGGGAATAGAGGTGTTTTGCTATTATTTTTTTTAAAGGAAAGGCCATGTAAATGCTGCTTTTTCCTCCTCATTTTTTCACAAAACTTTTGGCTTAGTGCTGATTTGATGGCCACTGTTCTAAGTGCTGAAAATTTGACTCCTGACCCCTGCATAGACAGAGAGAAAATATTCACACTTTTACAAGTGCTGAACATCTCTGGGTTTCTGTCTGGCATTGGTTTTACCAATGCTGAATATACTCCAAATATCAAGGATAAGGTAGTGTTTGAAAAAACAAGCTGGCACCTTTTCCTGAGGATCAGTTTTAGTTTTCTAAATGCCTTTATGAATCTGGGTCTGAAAGGGCTTGAAGGTAGGTCAGAAAGACAAGGAATTTTCCAGGATTTCAAAATGAAAGGTGCTGCTGTAGCACATACCTGGAGATCAAACTCTTATTTCAATCATATAAGGCAATTTTAGCTGCAGAGGAGAAGGTTTCTTTTTAAAGCAGGAAAAGGTGGAGAAAGTGATATCTGAAGTGCTTTTGGTTTGATTTCTACTACTACTGTGTCCCTTTACTGTAGCTGCAGACTCTGTAAAGTATTTAAACTGCAACCTGTTCAGAGATTTCCTCTGTTAGTGGCTCTTCTCAGACCAAGGTAATTTCCCAAGTATTCATACAGGTCCAGGTGTTGTGACCTGACTGACACTAAGAAGCTCCATTTTCTAGAACGAGTCCATTTTCTCTGCAAGTCGAGCTATCGTGAGGTAGGATGAGGTGTATCCCCTGTGTCTCTGAGGCTTGTAAGCCCTGCAGCAGCAGCAAGTGGGGACTGTGATGAAGCTTTGTTGGAGGTTTTGTTTTCCCCAGAAAATCCTTCATATCTGGCTGCTGAGCAGAGCCGCCAAGCAGCCCTGACTGTTCTCTGCTGCTTGATGACTGTCTTATCTCTCAGCTGTGTAGGAGTTTGCAAAGTCAGATTAATATTTAACGTACCTGGAGGCTTTGATCTTTTAGTTGTAGCCTGGATACATCTAAAACCTCATAAAATGCAGCCAGCAGAGGTGATGCTGCCTTTTTATTCATGAATGCAGAGACTGGAGCACCCTCCTAATTTCAATTCCTTCTTCTGTCTCAGGCCATTTCATTCCCCTCTCCAACTTGTCTGCTGGGTGCTCATGCTGAAACTGTCTAATTTCCAGGCTTTCAGCTGTGTACATGAACCACTCGACTTGAAAGCCTCTTTGTCTGGTCGTCTTCTGGATCACGACGTGCCCCTGCTACAAAGAAAAGGTGGGACACCCTGCCTAGGATGACCTGCTGGTTGGTGGCCGGGTGCTCTCCTGGGCTGTGGGGTGGGAGCCGCAGGCTAAGGCAGGCAAGACACATGTCCTCTGTTTGGTCAGCCCACAGAGCATCAATGTGGCTGTCATCCAGGATGGTCCCCACTCTCTGTCCCTCAAAGGTGGCCGCTGCTGAGGGTTAAACGCCTGCTTTCAGGTGTCTGGAAGAGACTTCCAGGCATGAGTCTCTGCCACGTCCGCCTCCGCCTGGCTGGCTGAGGCAATGACAACTCACTGCTTTCCCACGTAGCGAGCATTGGTCCCTAACTTGACACTGTGAAGCCTGTTCTTGCCGTGGATGCTCTCACTTTCCAGTCTACCAGCACTGACCATTCAAGTGCCAAGACTGGCCCTAGAAGCCTTTAAAGGGAAGATCTGGAGAAACACCCTTCTCCTCAACCTTTCCTCTTGGCTAATTTTTGTTGCTCCCTCTTCTGCTTGCTGTCTGTTGTCAATCACAGACTTGGCAAAAAGAAGCAGGACTGTTCACTGTGGATACCATGAGCTCCTCTAGGCCACAAAGTACACCAAGATGCAGTGCCTTGTATGCTGGGGTCAGTAATCTCCTTTTGGGGAGGTGTGGCCAGATTCAAGCTTAACGTGTATGAAGTAGTTTGTTTGGTATGTACATGAGGATATTTGGGAAAAGAGTGCTATCCCAGAGATCTGATACTTCAAAACTACATCAAAACTGTGGTCAAATAGTTTATATAAACTAAGAAAATAGCTGTAAAGTGGCCAGTGGTTTCTAGTAGTTTGGGCTGGCTCTGCGCATAGGCAAAGGAGACAGTAGCCCAAGACAACAGAGGACAGCAACACAGCAAACGTTTTCCTCCTGGTTTTATCCGTCAAAGCCCTGGGGATCTGGGCTGGTTGCTGCTTCTCCAGGGCAGCAGAAGCTTTACATCCAAATTTCCATTACTCTACCTTTTCCCCCAAACTATTGCTGTTCTCTAAGTTTACCTTTATGATATGCCTTCTCTTCCAGCTCTCGTTGCTCATCCTTGGATTTTTGCATGTGCTCTTGAGATGCTTTGAGACATGTTGCTGCAATCGTGACAAAACTTAATGTGGTCTAAATTTGAGCAGCCAAGATTTGTACTTCTGTGGGTTTCTGTGCTCCTAGCAATATCTGAGCTAGGTATTTTAAAGCTGATTCAGACATGTGTATATGAGCTGCAGTCGTCTTAGTTGTGGTAGCATAAGCAAAATTTGGGGAACTCAGCACTCTTGAAAGGGGAAGAAAAAATACTGTAAGCATCTATATATGAGTGAGTGTTGTCCCTCCAGAATCTGCACCCTAAGCTGTGAGAGGAGAGTTTCTGAATGACATTAATACTTAGTAGTTTGACAGGAATGTTGGTGAGGGTACAGAATGCATCTCTAGTAAAATTGTCTATATTGTCATCTGCTAGACTAAAAGGTAATAGGAAATTGAAACAGAGGCTTGGAAATAAAATTGTTACATTACAACTTAGTGGAAACTTCCCTTTTTTTGGTCCACATTCTCCTGGGTCTTATTTCTGGTTGGAGAAGCTTGTCTATGAAGTAGTTCATGCCAGTCCTGTTACAAGGGCATGGTGTGTTGTGGCTGTGAAAATCCCCAGATGGTCCCTGTTCCTCCCTTGCTCCGTGGAAGGATTACCCAGCACCCGTGATTTTCCCCTAGGGTTTCCTGTCCCACTGTAGCCCATTAGACTATGACTGTATTAAGATCCCTTGACTCAGGAGCTCTTCCCAGATCCAAGCATAGACCTCACCTTTTTCAAGCATGGTCTTCCTGCTGCACCTTGCTGTCCTTTGGAAGGAAAGCTGGGGAAGAGGTTTGGGTCAAAAGGGCCTTACAGCATACACCAGTCTGTGTCCCAAATCTGGATGATCAGTGGCAGTTGGGGGGTGTATGGTGCAGCACCCCTGCCCGGCAGTGTGGATGTAGCATCATGTGGTGTAGCAAGGGTGTTGTGAGGCAGAGCAACCTCTCCTGTAACTCATGCCACGCTGTCTCCACGTGAGGAAGGAGACAAAATCTGCTCCCATCTGATGCCTCTGCTGCACTCTATTCATTTTATCTCCCAGATGATAATGGAAGCACAAACTGGACAGCAATTGAGAGGGATAATTTATTCCCGTGGCTCCGAAGTCATCTACTTAGTCTTGCTGCTAAGACATCTATTAAACATACCAGAGTTGATGGTGGAATTTAAAATTAGAGCAAGGCTTTTTAACAGTATAGGCAAGACTGAATTTTGCTGCATGGAGAGGGCAGCCTGCTTGCCTCTTGCTCCCCCCCTTAAGTTTTGGTGTCTGCTTCACCAGCTCATTCTCACCCTGAAGTTCCATACTATCCTGTCCCTGCTGAAGGGCAGTTATGCCTTCAGGCCACCCCCAAATTAACAGATTCACCCTCCTAGACCCCTGTCATGTTGAGACACACAGACCCACAGGCCCCACACCTGTGCATAGTCCTACTTGGCTTATTTTTGAAGGGAATGAGGGAGTGGAGAATGATATAGCCCAGTCTTCTTGCTCTACATGCAAAATGCACACATCTGTATTGTGGCTATAAAAGATGATTTACAGGTACTTTTTCTTGAAACCCTGGTATGACTTTCAGCTTGTTTGTGTACTATAGAGCCTTGGTGAAAGAAGGACTGGAAAAACATGTCAGAAGTTCATAAATAACACCTTTGTCAAAGGATATTTCTACGGACCGCTTAAATATTGGCTTTTGATGGTCCTTTCACAGAAACTCCATTTCTGTACTGTTGTTTTCTTGGAGATCTCCTCACAGCCTAATATCAGGCAAGCCATTTCACTTGTAGGCTTAAACAAGGGTATGTTTCAGAGGTGAATCTTTTCAGGATTTATTGAAGACTCTGATGGAACTTCATTGCATGATACAGTGAAATATTATCTGCCTTCCACTCTCAGTGAGTTACACGAGGGCTATTGTATCAGACAATTTGCTGGGCACAATTTCAGTGCTCAGGTAGATGGGAAGTGAAATTTCAGACCTTTAGGCTAGTCTCACCATCTACTGAATTGCCTCTTTAGAGCAGTATGTGCTCTTTCTAAGTGGCAACTTCATACTAACGCCGGTGTACTGTGTTTTCTCCTTTGACCTTTCCAGATCCCTGCCTCCAATGAGAAATTTTCAACACAGAATTGCCTATTATTAGCATTGCTTACTCTCCTACTTCTTAAATAAATTTCTTCTGAGCTTTATATTACCCAGTCTAACATACTGCTGAATGCACTGCTGCGTGTTTCATGAATATGTTTCAGCATGTCACATACAACCTGCTCAGAGGACCTGCACATGTTCTTCTCATGTTGTGTGGGCTATGGCACACAAAAATATATTGTGTTTGTAGTAGGATGCTGCATATGTTCAGAAACTGTTGAAAGTCTTTGGAATTCTTATAACTGTTTATTCATTCTTTTGTTTAGGAGTCAGTGACCTGTAAGTGCTCATTATGAAGAGAGATCTGGTTTTCTTGGTGACTCTAATTAGCCTTGCCTTCCTGTCACTGCTAAGGTCTGGTTATCCTCAACATATTGCAGAGGAGTCCTGCTCTGTTCAAATTCTTGTTCCAGGCCTCAAAGGTAATGTGGAAGCCTACTCCATCATTCAAATACTAATCCTTTCTTTCTAACAGGCTTATTTGCACCACTGACAGTTTCTAATAGAGACAAAGAAGGTACCTTTCAGTTGTCCTTTTATTTGGCCCATTTTTAGTCTGCTTAAAAATGGGGTTTTAAGGTCCATAAGATGACCATAAGTCTGTTAAACACGATTCAGAGAACGCATGCCAAAGTTTCCAGACTTGCTCCTGATTAGTAGTACTTGTTACTCTTATTGCCTGGTTGCTTTCTCTGTGTTTATACTAGGGAGTGGTGAACATACCCAAAGACTGTAAAATCAGGCCCTACTTTATACCTGGAGAGGTTTTAATTGCTATTTTGCAGTGTAATGGGAAGTATTTTGTATTTTCAACTCTTATGTTTGTCTTCCCTTGATTTTTAAATGCTGAAGTGCCTTTTAGAAAACTAAAAAATTAATTAGGTTTTGGGTATTTCTATAGTTTCTGTGGACCAAAGCAAGATTTTTACAAAACATGCAGCCAAACTACTGCCCAAAAAAGATGGCATAATAAATTATTGATCTTTTCGTAGCAAAAAATGTACCTTGGGTAGGAACTCAGCAACTGGGAACAATTAACATTCTAAAGCAACAACATCTGCTATGGTGTGAAATCCCAGCCCTTTTTAGCCAGTAATTCCCATTATGGAGGTATTTCTACTGTAGTGTAACACCTGTGAGCGTGGGGAAATACCTGTTAATTAAGGACCCCCCCCCCCCCAGAAAACCACTAGTTTGTCATTAACAATTGAAAAAAAATGTATTGTTTAAGAACTGCAGTACTAACCTTCCACTTTTTCTGGTAGTTTTACATTGCAGTATTGCAAGACTCGCCTAACAATATGGATGCCGCTAATGTTATCCAGTACAAACCTGGGCTTTACCCAGTTGCCTGAGGACTGGGTAAAGTAGTCCATGGTATGGACTGTAGGCGCTAGCTGTGCTGGTTAATTGATTGGTGAGGGCAAGGCTCAGTTCTGTCCTGTGGTTGTTCAACAGTTAAATTGCGAGCACAGCCTGGCCACAGGTTTGGTTGTGGTGCAAACTGCCCTCTCCATACACTGGCCAATTTGAATGTGGCTGCCCTGTGCTGGAAGCAAGAGAATTGGGCTGTAAGGATGTGGGTTGTGCTTGGCCAATTGGCTTCAGGACCGAAAAAGCTCTCCTGTTTTGTTTATTATTGTTATAGTTGCAGCTTTGGATGTCTGAACTGAAACAAAACCTGTATTTTTTTTTAGTTCAATAAGTGGCCTTTGAAGTCTTAATAATATTTACATCTTCTGCAGATGTTCTGGTTAGAAAGAACAACACTATATACAGGTCGTCTGAAGTTTGGTTAAGCCTTGAGTAAAGTTGTTTCATTTGTTTGTTATATTTGCTGTGAAATAGGTGTAAGATAGTGCTGTTGATATGACTCGCAGAGAACTAAACAATCGAGTTAAATATATGTTGTCTAAAGTTGCATGGAAGGTCAGTCAAAGGGTCAGACTCCATAGCACTGGGGACTTGAAGCCTTGAAATGATTTTTCCATTTCAAAGAAGCTGACAGGTTTTGACAAGTTTTGTAACTTCTTTGCCTTAGTTTCCTTGTTTGTGTAATCAGTCAAAATTAGCATCTGTGTTTCCCATTTTTAGGTAAGGACCATTATAATTATTATATGCAGCAGAGCTTTTTAAAACATAAACAGTGCAGGACCCTGGCCCTTTGTCAGAAGGCAATCCTGAGGCAGGAAACAACAGAGGCCTGAAAACCATCATGTGTTAATGATTTCACTCCGCTTCATGGGATGTAAGCCTTGCAAAAGTGAGAGAGATTGATGTACAGAATCAGTGAAGCACAAAATGGCCTGATACAGCCTTAGTTAATGTGAAATCCCTAAAAAGCTATCAATGCTCCAGCTACACTGTCAGGGGGACTGGCTCAGAGAATTGCTAATGAGATACTGCTGTCCCCCACTGGCACAACTCCAACCCATTTCAGTGGCCAAGGCTTCCTTTAAACTGAGCGTATATGTGGCCGCGTGCCTGAATTTCATCTCCCACGCAGTGGGATTTGCTCACTGCGGGTTTTAGATCTGCCCCATCTCTTCCGCTGCTGGGCTGCCAGCAACATCTGCAGTGCTGGAGGAACAGAGCCCCGCACCGCTGCTGGGCATGAGCCTGTCAGGATTTGGGAAAGAAAATGGGTACAGGGAAGAAGTGGAAGAAATGAGGGAGATCATGTGATGTGTGAAAGGGAAAAAATAGGAGGAGAGCGTTAAGCCTAAGAGGTGGTGCAGAAAGTGGAGCCCAAATGGGGTGGTGAAGGAGAAAGATACCAGGGAAAAGTACCCAAAAGTGGGGGAGCATAGTGGAGAAATTTTAGAAGAACAGGAAGAGATAAAGGGAAAAGAGAAAGGGCACAAAGAATGAGACTGAGTGGAGAGACTGGAAACTAAAAAAAAAAAAAAAGGAAAGTGACAAAAAGCCAATTAGGACCCCACAGAATAAAAGGGAGAATCGGAAGGGGGATGAGATGAGAATGGAGGTGGAAATAGAAGATGAAGAAAGCCAGTAAAGCCATCAAGAATAGAAAAAGGCACAAATGAGTTTAAGGTCAGCAGCTTAGGTCTTAGGGACTGATTTTTTTTTTTAAATTTTTTTTTTTTCCTAACCTCAACAGTATAAAGGAGTAAGATGAAATGCAGAAGGAAAAAATACCATGGCTCTGAGGATCCAGACAGCAGACTGATCCGTGTTTTAGAAAGCCGACAGTATTAATAATGGGAAAAGTGTGTTTTGTGTGAAGAAGCGATGGATCATGAAGCCTCGCTATGTTGCACGCTCATATTCTTCCTGAAGTCCAGTTTCTTTTGTCGGCCCATTAGATTGAAGTTACTACGGTTGTGTGGAAAAAAACCCCGCCATGGACCAGTCCTTCAAAGCTTAAATTCTCGGTTTGCCATCTTGTTTTGTCCCCCTTCTAGAATCTAAAGCAGGAATTGTCTTAATAGTCTCAGTGGTATACAAAACATAAAAAAGTTGATGCTACATAAATAAAAGAAAACCAATTTTTTTACGCCCACACTTGATGCATCTACTCACACAGGGAATATGAGTAATGGAAGAAAGTTATCACTAGCCAGGGAATGCTTAATAGCTCATGTAGTTAATATTTGGTGTACTATTTTCATTACAGTAGGTGGTACAGCTCAAGGTAGGCAGGATTTAAACATAATCAGAAACAAGTCTTGTCCCAAAAAATTCACAAAAGGAGGCAAATCAACAGCAGTGATAAGATATATCACCTGAATTATGAAAGAGCTCTCTCAGAGGTGAAGGGAGAAGCTTGTAGTAGTGTCAAGTTTGTGCCTGATACCTGTGATCCTGCTGCAGCTCTGTTTGGTACCAGGGTTTAGTTTCTTTTGAGGGTGTGGGGCATCACAACACTGTGGAGCACTGCTGGGCACATCTCGCCCTGTCTCAGCTGCATGTGCAAGAGCTGCATTGTGCTGAGGAAGAAGGTAGTCTTTCATGCAGTAGGGCTGGAGCAGAGAGACATCTGGAAAGGGATGGAGAGGAGACTGAGCAGGAGGCATGACTGCAAAGGGACTGTGCCTGGCAGAGGAGGCTACACCGGAGCAACTAGGTAGGGACTATGATGCACTAATCCCAGCCTCCTACTCCAAAGGGACTGGGTGTAACGTGCGGCATAGGGGCTGGAGACCAGAAGGGGGGTGCAGAAGTGTCTTTCTCTAAGTTCATTTTTTTTGTTTTTGTCTTAATTCTGGAATCAAAAGTTAGTGTTAATTGGTGATAAATTAAATGGATTGAAATTCCTTGACAGAAAATAGTTTTGTTGCTCACGACACCTGCACAGGCTTTGCCTGCTCAGGGTACATACAGCAAAAAAAGGCACTTAAACATGGCAAAGCTGAACTGGACCACTGATCAGTCCCTCTTGTCCAAGGTCTTGCTGCTTAAGACAGCTGATAACAAAAAATGCAAAGTGGTCTGTAGCTGGGCCTGTAATGGGGTAATCTCCTCCCAGGGAAAGTTTCTGAAACACCCCCACTAAGGAATGCAGTGTCATCTTATTACAGGAATAAAGGCAGGCAGGTGTAATGGCCTGAAGCAAGAGTGATCTATTTTATTGATCCCTAATGCACAGCTTTCACTCTGAAGAACGTGTAAAGCAATAGGCTGTAATAGCCTGCTCTCAGCCTCCAGAGAGCAGGGAAAAGTCATTGTCAGGATTTATCTTTGGGAAGCAAAGAACTCATAACCAGCCCTGAGGGGGAAAAGGCAATCATACAAAGCCTATTGGTTACCTGATAATAAAAAAAGTGACATTCCCAAATGTGCCAAATAATAGCCTGTTTCATACTAACAATATTATTCACTGGGGATTATGTGAAGTTTGTCCTCATTAAGGTCAGAGAATGGCCTATTTTTGCGTGTCTGAAGCCAGAGAAGATAGTCAGGAGGCTGCTGGCAGCCTGAAGAAGGAAAATATAACAGATGAAGGGCTGAGGACCAACTGGAGAGGTAGGCCCAGGTGAACCTCATGAGGTTCAACAAGGCCAAGTGCAGGGTCCTGCACCTGGGCTAGAACAACTGCCACTATCCATACAGGCTGGGAGAAGACATGCTAGAGAGCAGCCTTGTGGAAGAAGACTTGGGGGTACTGGTGGATGAAAAGCTGGACGTGAGCCGGCGATGTGTGTTCACAGCCCAGAAAGCCAGTTGCATCCTGGGCTGCATCAAGACAAGTGTGGCCAGCAGGTCGAGGGAGGGGATTCT